CATCTTTTGCATAACTGTGCTAAAGCCCGCTAAGTAACATCAACATACAATTAATGGATTTGACCTTTCTGCACTATGGGAAAAGTGGAATATGTGTTTAGATTTGGATTTAGCAATCATGGTTCTTTCTTAACTCAAAATTAGTCTATAAGCCTCAGCATGGAAGAAGGAATCTAAGGTGTTAATTTAGTTTAGACCCCATCCTTTATTTTTTATAATTTTATATTGATGTTACTAGAAATATTTTCATTAATGCAATTAAGGGTTCCCATTGTCTGGACATAAAAATATGAGACCATAAAGTAAAAACTCTGGGTTCCCTGACAGCTCTGGGCAGTATGCTCTGCATCTGTATTTTGCTGGTTTTAAAGTGTGGTAGTTACTGTCTTCACAGAGGAGATGCTGGGTTTATGCAATTTGCTTAGACTCTGCAATGTCGTGTGAGTCCTTTTTCCACACTCACTGCTTCACGAACAGAGTGTTTATACTACAGCAACGTTACAAACATTTTTAATAGTACTTGTAGAAGATATCATCAAAATAAAAACAAAGCATGCTGTCTCAACATTACTTGACGGCAAAGTGCCAACTAATCCAATGCCCTCGAAACCAGCTCTGAGAATTGGATTGGCACATTTTCGCCTGGGGTTTCCAGGACATGATCTCCCATGCTTCATGAGCGAGGCTTCCTGGGAGCTTTGGCCCTTGTGTGCGTGCGTGCCTGCAGTGCAGTTGGTCAGCACATGTGCAATAAGCCTGATGCTTCCCAGAAGTGTCCTGGTGTGCGGTATGTAAACTGTAGAGCCAGGCTCAGCATTTCCATGGAAAACGTACATGTGTGTAACTGTAGTCCTCAAGTAGTTCCATTAAGCCTATTTGTGTAAATAAGCCTGTTTATTTTCAACAGTTCGAGTTTAAGGAATTGGCTACCTAATAAGTGGGACTCTGACTACAACTGGATCTCTGGGTGGTAATGGAGCATATATTGTAGTGTTTTAAAACCATGAATGGGCTGAGGTTTGATGACAGCTGAATCAAATTCACTCTAAACAAAAGTGAACTTCACTTAATATTTATGTGACTCTGGAATGAGTTGTGAGATTCAAATACAACCCAAAGCAAGTCCATGTGGTATCTGCTTTCATAGCGAAAGCTCTTCAGAAATTAGCCTAAAGTTATTGGAAGAGATGTCGATGTTCCAGACAAACAAATCTAGTTCCAACATCACTGAGCTTGTTACTTTTAAGTAATCAAACAGATCTTTGTGAGCTGATCCCCAAATTTAATATTAAGTCTTGGGCTTCACAGAGTATGTTAATTATTACCAAATTTAGGCCTGCCTTGTTCCACAGGGAAGAGAGAATCAAGAAGGGAAAACTGAAGAGAAGCCTTCTTTCCTGTCTAGGTCATTTATGTTTAATACAGATACTGACTGGACAACTTCCAAAATCATGTCAGGCTTTGAATATGGAACATTCAGAACTGAAGTAGAAGTCACTCACATGGCAGCTGTGAGAGCAGCTGCATCCCATAGCAGTAGTCGTGAGCCACATCCTTCTGTGCAGAGTAGCAATTCGTTGTGTTGTAGGAAAACATCTATTGGGATCTGCAACCTGAACATCTGTTGACTCCACTTGTGACACCGTGTCCATGTGGTGATGGCTTTTGAGCACGCGGTGCTGTTGAGTGAGGGGCTGGCTGCGGCAGGTCTCTAGTCAGTCCCTCAGCTATCCCCAGGACCAGTGCTGCGCACGTCTGCCTCTGGTACTCGTGGAAGCGCTGCAACTATTTCAGAATCATGTGTGGGAACTTGCCGAGCCTATCATTCTACATTAATCCACTAGCTTCTCCTCAGACTGTAAAACTCAGCCCTGTTGCAAGACATTAAGTCCTCCAGGAAAGAAAAAGGCATTTGTTAGTGTCCTGTTCCACACAAGTTCCTCAATCTTGCCTTCAAAATCTCTGATGACAGCCATGTCATCAGAGATATTTTAATAAAACGATTAGAACTATTTTTCCCTGGAAGAAAACAGCCGTATCAAAACAAAGGTATTTTGAGAAAACAAGTTAGGCTTGCATAAATTTTACAAAACTAAAAATTATGTCCTCTTGGTATTTTTATAATGTATGATAATAAAAATATTAAGAACTGTAATCATCAAGATTGATAAACAGCTGTGTGATGTATATCAATTTTGTCTACATTAGATGTTTTTGTCAGCCTAAATAATGGGTGAAGGAGGTGGGAGAAGAGATTTTTTTTTTTACATTCTTTTTGTGGAAAGGCAATCCAAGTAACCATAATGATTAATTCTGTTGCCTATGGTAAAAGTATTTAACATTGAATGCATGGCTATTGAGCTCGTTTGGAAGGGCAAATGTCAATACTACTGGACTCCTACCTATGCTGCGAATAATGCTTGTCTTTTCATACACCATGTAGCCTGGCTCTAATCCGGTGTTTTATCTCCTTGATTGTTTTCTGTTACCTGTGGAAAGGAACATTCCTTGCAGTTTACACTGAGTAGATACACTGTAGATAGAATAATCTCAGTTTACCAATGAACAAAAGCAATTGAAGGAAGAGTGCACGCCTTGATTACTATCATTTGCTTTCACGGCTATGCTATTGGTTTAACCCCAGCCAGCAACAAAGCACCACGCAGCCGCTCACTCACTTCCTCCCCAACACCCAGTGGGATGGGGGAGAGAATTGGGGGAAAAAAAAGTAAAACTCGTGGGTTGTGATAAGAACAGTTTAATAGAACAAAAAAGAAGAAACTAATAATGATAATGATAACACTAAAAAAAATGACAATAGTAATAATAAAAGGATTAGAATATACAAATGATGCACAGTGCAATTGCTCACCACCCACCGATCAATGCCCGGTTAGTCCCCGAGTGGCAATTCCCCCACCCCCACTCCCCCCAGTTTACATACTGGGCATGACATCACCTGGTATGGAATACCCTGTTGACCAGTTTGGGTCAGCTGCCCTGGCTGTGTCCTGTGCCAACTCCTTGTGCCCCTCCAGCTTTCTCGCTGGCTGGGCATGAGAAGCTGAAAAATCCTTGACTTTAGACTAAACACTACTTAGCAACAATTGAAAACATCAGTGTTATCAACATTCTTCCCATACTGAACTCAAACCAGCACTGTACCAGCTACTAGGAAGACAGTTAACTCTATCCCAGCTGAAACCAGGAAAGCTATAGAAGAAAACAGACAGTCAAGCAAAAACAACATTAAAAAAGTTGCTTGTTATTCACATAGAATGTGTCAATGCAAATGCGCATGAATTGCATTTCGGGTCTTTGAGGAAAACAGTGATTATATGGCATCGTTTATTTCAGATAGATGGTACAGACACCCCCTTTTAATATTTGGATAAGACTGGTCTATTTTTCCCTTTCTTGCACGTTTAACTCCCAATAAAATTAAGATAAACATGAGCCATGCTCCTCTCTCCACTGGGAATAATAGGCTACTCCAATTAAGTGTGCTTTGCAGTTGTCATTCTAGTCTGGAGTTGCAATCACTATTTTCCTCTTGAGGGAAAGGTGGGGCAGGAGCAAAGTTAATTCACATTGCTTTGAAGCATCCTGGTCTTTCCCCATTTTCTCCATGCACGATTGTTCTTATTTGTATTATTATTATTATTCTTACTCATACTATTATTTTTAACTCTTTCTTAGCTGTTCCTGTTAAAAAAAGATGATAAACAAATGTTCCTTTTTCCTCTCATTTTACTCAGTCACACACTTTCCTTGGATTATACTGTCTTCTCACTGTACCTGTTGCATTGTGTAGGCAGTATCTTTCCAACATAAAGATGAACGGGGTGTGATCTCCTCAGAGCCCCTAGTCCTTATGCTTTTCATTCAGTGGCTGTAGTGAATTGCATGAGGCACTCCCCTCCCATAGGCTTTGCATGTACAGCTTGTTCAGGGTTCCCAGGCTGAAGGCCAGAAACCAAACTGCACAACGTAACTATGGCACCTAAATTTTTTTTTATTATTAATTTAACCCCATACTGCTTGCCATTGAAATGTACTTCCATGTGCAAGCCTTCACAGTATTATTAAATTAAAATCCAAGACATCCTTTAACATTAAGTAAGCTTACTAAAGTACATATTGAAATGCTGACATGGTTTGGCAGTAAGGTTTTTGTGTGTGAGCATGAACTCAGCAAGAGGAAGCCTTTCAAAATGGAGGGAAATACTGTCAAGATGAATGAACAGGGCACAAGAAGTTAATTCATGTGAACTCTTTCATAATGTGTATTTGATGCTTCTCTATCTGCCCCAGCAGGCTGAATAAGAAGAGCTTAAATATTGTCTTTCAGGGAGTAATGTTGTTCTAGTTCAGAATATCTGTGCAGCTCACAGTTTTTGTCTCAGGTAGATCATGCCACATCAAACCAATGCAAGCTTTCTGCTTTTGTCTAGCTAATAATAGGAACATGTTTCTCGAACTAGTTCTGAAGCTGGGGATTGACATATATATTCATTTAAAAGGAATCACTGTGAAGAGATCACAATGAGATAATTAAGGAACCTTATGATTATAAAGGCTCTGATTATAGACCATTTCATCTTTAAAAAATTCTGTTATGAATGAAATAATTTGTTTTCAAATACATTTGACTATTCAGTTACTTTTGCAGTACTGTGGCTTCCAAGACTTTCACAATTTATGTGTTCTTCACATTATTGTTAATGGTATGTTAAAAGTGCTAGATACCTCACAAAAACATGTTTGTATTGCTATTTTTGGAAAGGCTGAAGATTTGGCTTGTGTCTCAGCCCAAAGAAGGGAAATATGAAGAAGGTGACTGAAGGTGCTAGCACTCTTTCTGAATGAATTGGTAGCTGCTACTTGTTGCTGATTTGCACTGAAAGCACTAAACTTGAAAATAAATAATTTCCAGGTCTTCAGTGAAGCATTGAGTCCAACAATTTGTAATTTCTTTTTTTCTTTTCTTTTGATAACAGAGTTCAATGTAAGTTGCAGATATGGAGGAGTTTTTCATGTTGAGAAAAACGGTCGCTACAGTCTCACACGATCTGAAGCAGTTGAACTCTGCAGAGCTCTCAATAGTACCTTGTCAACACTAGAGCAGCTGAAGAAAGCTCATGAACTTGGATTTGAAACTTGCAGGTAAAGAAATTGTTGACAAAATAATCTATCGTGATAAGTCCAGCCATCCATGCTATAGTATAATAATTACAGTTGACTTCATATAGCTGTTAATTAGTTGGATGTATCAGTCCTCAAGTAAGTTATATTCTGTGAAGAACAAAACATCTCTGTGCGTGTGTATGTTTGCTCTGGATCTGGTAATAAGTTCATGACTGCATATACTTTTTACCAATTATCTTTAAAATATCATCACCTCTTACAGATAAAATCTAAATTTAACAAAAGATTGACCATATAATAAACTAATTAGGAAGATGTTTAGATCATACTGTATCACTGACTAATTGATAAGTATGTGAAAAATATTTATGATTTTTAATGACTGATGTAAGTCCAAAGACTGAACATGGTATATAAAGTATAGGGAACTCTGTCTTGTCAAGAAACAGTAAAAATCAGCAAGTGGTACTTTGAGGATGAACTCTTGACATTCCAGTGAAAAATGGCCACAATATTAGTGCATTCTTATAATCTGTGAATGGAGAAGTTTCAGAAGACAGCCACAAAGATTAAAAAACCCCAAACCATGTTGTCAAGTGACTTAATTACCCTCTGTAATTAATGATGCATAGGGCAACAAATGTGGATAATACAGACTCTTCAGTTTAGCAAAAAATAACTAGACAAAGAGACTGGAAGTTACAGAAAATTTTGGATTCAAAAAAATGGGTACTAATACAACAAAATATGTAAGGATAATAATTATTGGCTGAAACAACTTACAAGGGTTGTATTAGATTCTTTGTCACACCAAAATTTCACCAAGATGAAATATTTTCCCCAAGGATGCCCTCTGTTCAAACGGTAGTCAAGCCGGGATAGTCCTATGGTCTGTAAATACGTCAGACTAGGTGATCATGTGATCTTGCTTTCCAAAACACATAATACACTGCTTATACAAGTCAGCCTAAACATTCATATGCAGAAAAGAGATTGAACTCAGGAGCTGTGAATTTGAAGTTTGGTTTTGTGGTGTTTTTTTTTTAATCAAATAACATAGATTCATGTTGTTAAACCATTATAGAATTGAACTAAATTCCAGTAGATTTTCAACTTTATTACAACCTAAAATAAGCAGCAGATATGGAGAAATGGCATTTATCTTCTAACTGACTGGAGTAGAAAAGTTCAGTGGGCATTTCTCCAAAATTGTAAGACTTTTGTTCTGGTACCATGAGAAATAGTACTAGCATCAATACTGCTTGCAACTGTTTCCTGCAAATTATTTCATTTCAGTTTAGTCAGTGGTGCTTTACTTTTTTAATGCCTAATGCATCAATGTTCTTTCTTACTGGCTTGCAAGCCTATGAGAATTGAATAAAGGTCCTTTCAAATTAATAGCATCCCTACGAAATAATTTGTAATCATGGAAAGATACATGCAGTGCCTTGAAAACGTTCTTATATATATAAATGTCATGCACTGCCGTTGATGACAGCATATGGCACGTTCATTTTCACAAGCATTATGCCCTGCATGGTGGTGAAAGAGGTGGACAACGGTGCCAGGGGACAATGGACAGAAAATTCTTAGCAGATTCTTCCGTGAAAAGTGGGAACGTCATTTAAAATAGTACCATGTAAAGACTAGAGACAATTCTTTACTCTCAGGGAAAAGCCTGCATAACATAGTAGCATGTTCTTTCTCTAATGTTAGCATATGAACATACTTAACATTCTGAATTGTCCAGCACTACACAATATATAGAGACTAGGGATCAAATATTAACTGAACACCTAGGGGTAGAGATTTCTAGTGCTAGCAATTATGAGTATTCTGCAGTGTGGAAAGTATTTTCTGAAGTTAAAAGATAATTGAAAGAGGTAGAGGGAAATGGTTTTTGCAGTGGGGAGCTGTAGTTTATCATTAGTGTTACAATTCTCCCTAATTCACAGTTTAGCAGAGGACAGATGTAAGTAAGGCATGTAGATACGATGTCATGGTTTAACCCCAGCCAGCAACTAAGCACCACGCAGCTGCTCACTCATTCCCCCCACCCAGTGGAATAGAGGAGAGAATTGGGAAAAAGAAGTAAAACTCCCAGTCCCTCACTTTCACTGCCTTGCTCTGGAACCGATCGCTGTGAGTAGTAAGATGCTCACTTAATTAAAATCAGTTTAGCTCTAGAAATTACATGCAAAATGGTGTTGAGTGCCTGGAGGGTGATGTAACTACATGTGAGAAAGGAACACCCTTCATATGCAAAAAGTATGCATAAATGCATGCACTTCTTAAGAACAATGTAACATGAAAATAATGGCTTCTTCGTGGCTTCTTCGTGTTTGAGATATCTAGAACACTTATGTCATCTGCTATAATATGTAATATGGTGTATTTTCCTCTGTTCTTCACAGGTACGGGTTTGTAGTGGGGCATATTGTTATCCCACGAATCAATCCCTATCATCTTTGTGCAGCAAATCATACTGGCATTTACAAACTTTCAGCAAACACAACTGGTCGGTATGATGCATACTGTTACAATGCCACAGGTATGTATATGCTTTTATGATGTATTTTAGATACAGATTAACTAACAATAACATATGTAATCTCCTATTTAAGGTACAGGAATGAGGGCTTCTATATTAAATATAATCTGTTTTTCAGCTGAGAAGAAACACCTTTTGTCAGCCTCTAGGAGTGTATCTATAATGCCAGCAATTAATTTGTTCTATTTTGTCGTTAGTGTGTTTTGAACTAAACAATTTTCTGCCCTTGAGACTAACTTAATAGCCTCAGAACAGTTCATTATAATGGCTTAATACAGTGAACCACTGCAGCAGTGAATCTAAAAGATGTAACTGTTGTAGGCGGTGGCACTCATCTCTTCGGTTCATGCACATGTGAGCTTCTATAGCGAACAATAATTATTTGTGTTAAGGGATACTAGGAGTGGCTGCCACCTGCAACAGCTCCAACTCCCAGGGTGGCCATCCCAGGCCCATAGACGTGGCTGCTGCTCTCCTCTTTGCAGGTTGATCCAGTATTTGCTCCCAGGCAAATCTCTGTTCAGACATAGGCAGTTAGATTGCGATGCGGGTCAGAAGCAGACTGCTTTCTTCTAAGGTTTTGAACTTTTTAATAGTTGCGAATATTTTACTAAATTATTAGGAAAATGTAGATAATCTTGTGACGGGTGCTGGATGCAGGATTTGAAGATAAAATCCGGACTAATTTCAAGTGTCTTGAATTTCAGTAGATTATTACATTCACAGCAGAACCAGATCTTGCAGAAAGCTGTGGGCAAAATCCATTGATGATTTGAATGGCAGTGACATTTTTTGATTTTGTTCTTGGTGGTCATATCGTTAAAAATCATCTTTGCATTGGCATAGCATCAGGTGAGCTGCCATCCTCTGTCACCCATGGATGACTCTTCTGGTGCTACAGTGAAGTCCATCCCCACCAGAGCTTTCTAACTCCTCCTGAGTCTTATTCCCTTCTGGGAGTAGGAGCAGGCGGCTCACACACTGGCCCCGAGCGTGGCACTGCAGCCCGCCAGAGCAAGCGGTGATCACCGGACCTGGGGACCTGGGGACCTGGGCACGCTCTGCTTGTGCAGAGCCCTCTGTGGAGGGGATGGGGTCTCTCCGGCTAAAAAGGATTAAAGCTGCCGCCATGACATGCATTGAAAGCGGGTCATAAGGCTATTTTAACTGACGCTGATCACAACCATTTTCTGGAAAGGTTGTGGAAATGGAGAATCTTGTCGTTAGCTGACAGAACAATCTTGAAGTGCTCCACCTGGGAAGGAGCAAAAAGGGAACGTAGGTAGATCAGTGAATAATGTTTGATTTGGAAATTTGTTTTCAATTGTCCACATCTGCAGCTGATGCTTTGTGATTATGTACAATTAATATGGGTATACTTGTGTCTTTTTTCTCAATTTTCTCAAATTAATATTTTCTATTTTCCTTCTTTTACAGAAACAAGAGACAAAGCGTGTGAGCCAATTGAAAGACTAGATACTTCTTTCCTCAACAATCAGGGTGAAATAGGTACTGTATTGATTTGAAAGACCTGCCACTTGTTTCACTTTTAGGATCCAGTTATCTTTTTTTACATAAACAATTGCTAATATTGAAAATCAAGCCAAACATAAGAAAAAGAAGTCAAGAGATGTTCAACAGCAATTAAAGCAATTAGTCCCTTGTCTTGCCCTAAATCCTGTGGAGCTTGGTTTGTCACAAGGTGCTACCAAACATTTTTTATATAGGTATTTGACATTTTTTAGCACCTCAGAGCTGCTAACATTTGTTTGACATATAGGACTTTACTTAAGACAGCAACCTTTCTACATCTTATTTGAGCTGCTGGTTAGAAAAGCAGCTGGAAGTGGAAAAAACCTCTCATAATAAATTATTTGTCTGAATTCTAAAATTCTGATTGACTGTACAGAAGCCAAGATTTTATATTCAAAATCAAACTGTCTGATCAAAATGCAGTGTAGGCCCTATATGTTTGACAAATATATACATTAGCATATACACATTAGACATAGCTTAGTGATGTATGACCTAAACAGATGAGATAGGATGGCAAAAAGGGATGAACTGATATTAATCCACAACGGTTTCTAATTTTTTTTGTTATAGGACTTAAACTGTTTAGCATTACTGAAATATAGCTATGTAGCTTCTTGATATTATCAGCTGCTTAATTTCCTCTTTCGAACAGTCATTGACAATGCAGATGGCTCACGTTATAATGTAGATGGCACGCGTCATAGTGGAGAGTCCTCAACCTCAGGTGCGGATGATGAAAATGCAGGTAGCGGATCAACACATGACACAACTCCCATGGATACCTCCATCAGGAGATCCAGCCCCTCATATTATGGAAGTGCTACTCCAGTCTCACAGCTGCCAGATCATTCTTCTGGAGGGGGTGAAAAAGAAATTCCTAGAAAACATTCTGGTAAGGACAGTAAGTTGCCACATTAGAATAATTGAGTGAAGGATTACGTTGTTAGTTAAAGGATATCATGAGGGAATGAGAAGCACTGTCTCTAATTTGTATCCTGGAGAAGTAAAAGGAGAATGTGTATCTTTGAAAGAAAAGAGAAGCATTCTGAATTTCTAAGGATTTTTTTTGCTTGCACTGGAGTACAAAGCAGCCACACATCAACATAGTTTCCCACATAAACCTTCCCAGGATGTTGAGAACAGATGGTTCTGAGAATTTGCTCTTGTTCTTATTAAAATATTTATTTCAGTAAAGGCTCAAAAACATATCCAGCAGAGGTTAGTGAGGCTGAGGGTATGGGTATATAGAGATAAGGATAATATATTCTTATCTGTTCTCTAAAAGGATGAATTGACATTAAGTAATAAGAACAAGGAGGATTTTACAGTACAATTGATTTCTCTTTGTACAAATACAGGGGTATTTTTAGGACATCTTATTACAGCATATTACAGAATGCACAGAGAGATAAAAATGTCAAATTAAAATGTTATTACTGTCTTCTTCCTTTAGGTGGTAAAGCCAAATCTATTTTCATGAAGCCCTATCAAATACAAATGCCATACTCTGTTCTAGGGCATTCTGCAGGGTGGCAAATTAGGGAATTAGAGTACCTTGCCTGTATCTTGCTTTCTTGTGAAAGTGGCGTGAATTGTATTTCATCTTTCATTTTGCTTGTGTGGCTGAAAGTATCAGAGGTCTGAATGACTAGATGCCATTGAACCTAAAGGATACAAATATAATTCATCCTCCAAGCACAGTAAAGTTGACTGTGTGACCTCTGACTACAAGCTTTTTATCAAATCACCAGTAACATTCCACTGAAGGATACCAGTAGTTTGCATCATTATCTTCAATACTGAAATTAAAAAAAAAATAAAAATTGACCAGAAGTATTATGATTATAAAATTACTTTTCACAGGTGGTATACTCATGACATGTTATGCTTGTTTTTCCATGTAGTTAGCATCATGGTAAATGTTAGGTAAATCCTAACATTCTCTTCCTAAGGAACTAGGATCAGAGCCATTCCCCAAGGTGTATGTGACGTATTTCAATTGCTTGCCATGACAACTCCTATCAACTCTGCTTACATGCAGAGTTTAGATTTTTGGACTATATCTCAGAATATATCTCAGTGGCATGGTTTAATCCCAGCCAGCAACTAAGCACCACGCAGCCGCTCACTCACTTCCTCCCCAATACCCAGTGGGATGGGGGGAGAGAATAGGGGGGAAAAAAGTAAAACTCATGGGTTGAGATAAGAACAGTTTAATAGACAGAAAAGAAGAAACTAATAATGATAATGATAACACTAATAAAATGACAACAGTAGTAATAAAAGGATTGGAATGCACAAATGATGCGCAGGGCAATTGCTCACCCCCCGCCGATCAATGCCCAGTTAGTCCCCAAGCGGCGATCCCCCGACCCCCACTCTCCCCAGTTTATATACTGGGCATGACGTCACACGGTATGGAATACCCTGTTGGCCAGTTTGGGTCAGGTCCCCTGGCTGTGTCCTGTGCCAACTTCTTGTGCCCCTCCAGCTTTCTCGCTGGCTGGGCATGAGAAGCTGAAAAATCCTTGACTCTAGTCTAAACACTACTGAGCAACAACTGAAAACATCAGTGTTATCAACATTCTTCTCATACTGAACCCAAAACATAGCGCTGTACCAGCTACTAGGAAGACAGTTAACTCTATCCCAGCTGAAACCAGGACACTCAGTAAAGAGGGGAATACCAATAACTCACTCATTGCTCTAGAACCCCTCTCCAGATGGTATACAGGTAAAATTAGAGCTTGTATCACATAAACAGATCATTGCCAGAATGTTCATTATCACTGTAATACATACTGCTCTTGAAATAATCTGTTTTGGTGATATCCTTACTATGTTAGTAAAGTAAGGCTATTTGGGGTTGAATTTTATGAACAACCTAGTCTGTATCTTTCTCCTCTCTTGGACTAATAAATGAAGGAATGAAGCTTGCAGTATAGAATAATTGAAGTAAGTACTGGGTTGCAACTCAGCTAATGAAATAGTAATGATTCATCCATCACCAAACAGATTATGAAGTTACTCCTGTATCGCCTGACATCTCTTCGATGACGCCAGCTGATGATTCTCCTGAAAAAGATGGTGGACAGTATCCTGCGAGTACTAGTAAGATTTATGTATTATAATAGCTACATCAAATACAGATTGCATTAAAACTGCTTTCTTCTTCCAGCAGGGTATTCTGGTAAGTGTTGAAGTATACATGATAGCCAATTTTGGAAAGACATTGAAAGACAGTACTTTCCAGACTGGTTAAGTCAGAAATAAACTTTACTCTCTGGACAAGGGGAGAAATAACATTTACTGTATGTTTACTTCAATGCTTATACGTGAGTTCATAATGATTGTTGTTTTGTGTTTCCCACTGCTTTTTTCTCACACCTATTTACTCTATGAGGCACCACCAATTAGCACAACCAATTATCACTTGAAGTCAATTTATTTCCGAGGTAGAAAAGGACATTTTTGTCAATTTATGATGAAAGTGCCTGTGATTCTAGTATATTTATGGTTGTGAATGTGGGTAATCCACATCAAAACCATGGCCTCGCTCACCAAAGCAAGTGCTTTAAGTGGCAGTTCCAGTTGCCAAGCCACTTGTGCACTGCAAAAACTAATTTTGTCGTTGTTGGCAAAATGCATGAGAAAAAACTGGGGCCTGTGTTGGCTCCACAGGCTTTAAGGGCTCAGAACAGTAGCCATTTTCTGTGCTTTGTCCTTGAATAGCTGTACTGAGTAGGAAAAACCACTGCTTGTGTTGTTTTTATCAAATACATAGTGCACAGCAGCTACAGCAAATAAAAAACTTTTAAAGTCATCTTACATGTTTTGAAGTGGAACTGTACATACAGTCACTCTAGTTCTTAAGTTTAAAGTGATAAAGATCTTTGCCCCAGAAAATAAAGTGAACCTAAAGGGAGAAAATTTTAATTATACAGAGGAGACCTACAGAGGTGTGTTGCAGTAAAGATTGAATGGGTAGAAATGAAAGTTTCTTCCTGCTGACTCTTTTTTTCGCACCATGGAAGCCCGGGAATTTGCTTAATTGTTGTTGCTGATGATAGATGGTTAAATGGTCTATGTGACTTGGAGAGATGGTGCCCTCGTTATTGTATTTAGAAATCACAGGATAGAGGAAGAATAATTGTATGTCTCACACAGTTAGCAAAAGACAGAAATCATTCAACCAAGCATCTTGTCTCAGAGGATGTGAAGGTTAGTAACACCTTATGAATATGTAGATGGAAAAAAGAAATATCTGATTGGTTTTCCCCCAAACCTTGAAATCAAGTAGAGAATTTTCCGGTGCTTGTTTCAAGTGAAAGGTTTTGCTACAAAGTACTGCCTCTAAGGGGTGGAGGGGAAATTCCACCTGGTAACAGTGGGGAGTTTGTCTGGTTGACTCTGGTGGTGATTTTTCCTTCCTATTCATTTGCTTTTGTATGCATGTGTGCTTTCGGTTTTTCCTTTCACTACTTCATTATCAAATGTATTGATCCTAAATACATATATCCCTTGCTTTTGCTAACAGTTCTCTCTCATGGGCATGACTATTTTAGAGAGGGAAAACTAGAGGTATTTAAGATTTTAAAAGATCAAAATAACTTTAGAGCTATGTAATAAAAGATGTCAATACTGATATATGTGTATCACAGAAGTGATAGCATTGGAATGATTGCTTATTGGTTTAGGGCTGATACATTGATTCTCTGGAAAAAAAGATTATGAAGGTACTGCACCTGGGCTTTTCTGGTAGCTTTAGCTATTAGTCAGCAACATCACTTTAAAGCCAAACAGACCCATTTCATTTAATTTTGCTGCATTACAAATGAATGAGTGATTTAGCACTCCTTTCAGAAGTTAAGTATAAACTATGCATCTCCATGAGAATTCATCAAATATTCAGTAGCATAGGAGAAAGTTACGTGGAGAACAAAATGAAAAGAGAGAAGAACAAAAAAGAAAATAAAGCCATGCCCCAATGTCTGCTATTTACATTGTGCAACAGTGCAGGCTCATTGAAATATCCTGGCCACAATTTAATTTCCCAGAGAAAAATGCCACAGGCAGGAAAGTAGAAAATTAAGAAATAAGTAGAGAAAACTATTCACGTATATCTTCAGATAGATGGCTGAAAATATAGCTGTCTAATTCTATAGTGTGTGAAAATGGGAAACAAAACTGTTGGCTCTCCATCTATACTACCCAGCATTTGTAAACTTAAAGTTTGGTGAAAAGGTGTCTAGCTTGATCAAAACACTTCTTTACTATGGGTTTGAAGTGAGCAATTGCCACAGCTCCTTGTTCTTCAGATGATCCTGTTTCATTGTTGCTCTGGCTTTGGACATTATTGGTGATGTTGTCCATCAAGTTCATGGTCCAGCACTTTGCCATTGATTTTCTCTTCTGGCTGGAGCAAGATTTTCTCTTTGTTATTAACAAGTTATAATTCATCTGTAGATGTCATGGATCAGATGTCATAAAATTCTGTTGCTGATCAATGAGATACTTCCCTAAGTTATCAGAGCTAATTCCTCAAACAGTAACTGCGACTGATTTTGTTCATCCATATGGAATAGACATTTTAATGCTCTGGTGGATTTCCTTTTATTTGGTTTGGAGCATTCCCTGCAAAACATCTCACCAATAAAAAAGTCTTATGTCCGTATTTTGGCTAATCTCACAGGAAAGCATCTGCATTGGTATTTTGCATCTGGAAGGAAGCCATGAATACATATTCATCAATTAAGAAAATGAGCTCCTAAGGCTTGTTGTGGAAAGCAGGTAGAGGTGCAAATTTTGCCAATTACAGCAAGTCAGATGGCAATTATTTAGTTATTCAGTTATTTTCTCGTTAACCAATGTTTTGGCATCATCATTTTGTTTACAGTTCTGCTCCAAATCTGACACCACCTGGGTTTTGATGGTCTGTTGCTCAGAGATCAGATTTTGAATGTCCAGGTTTCACATTTTCTGACACCAGTGCCAGAACAGTATTAGTAGTACTAAGTTTAAGGAGCAATTACTGACTACGAGAAGAGACAATATTTTTTCAGACAAGGACAGCTTCTCAGAAAGGCAAAATCTGTCAGGTTTTGCGGCCAAATACTGTGGTTTAACCCCAGCCAGCAACTAAGCACCACGCAGCTGCTCACTCACTCCCCCCGAATGCCCAGTGGGATGGGGGAGAGAATAGGGGGAAAAAAGTAAAACTCATGAGTTGAGATAAGAATGGTTTAATAGAACAAAAAAGAATAAACTAATAATGGCAATGATAACACTAATAAAATGACAACAGTAATAATAAAAGGATTGGAATGTACAAATGATGCGCAGGGCAATTGCTCACCACCCGCCGATGGACACCCAGCCAGTCCCCGAGTGGCGATCCCCCGACCCCCACTTCCCCCAGTTTATATACTGGGCATGACGTCCCATGGTATGGAATACCCTGTTGGGCACGTTGGGTCAGCTGCCCTGGCTGTGTCCCCTCCCAACTTCTTGTGCCCCTCCAGCTTTCTCGCTGGCTGGGGATGAGAAGCTGAAAAATCAGTGTTATCAACATTCTTCTCATACCGAACTCAAAACATAGCTACTAGGAAGACAATTAACTCTATCCCAGCTGAAACCAGGACACCAAAACAGCTACACCTTGAAAAAGTGCAGTTCTGAGTTTAAGTCCATACACTTTGTACACTTTGCAGTTTACAGATAAGCAAAAACATAACTACTGCAGAGTGAAGAATATCAGTTTATCCTGTTTGATCTTTAGAACTTTGATTCCTAGGTCTTGCATTTTCCAGTGCTTTCATATATTGCACAAAAAAATGATCAAAACTGGTGTCTTTAATGTTAGTCTTGAAGGTATTTTTCTGAATTAATTATTTAAAGATTTTTTTCTGAATGCAGAAGAGTACATGATATCTTCATCTTCAAGATATAGAAGATGGTCTAAATGCTGATAAAAATATTGCTTGTGAGGAATTGCCAGAATAAAATTTTTCCAGAGAAACATTTTGAAGTAGATTTTGCTTTCTTTTGGTGAATATGTGTATGACTTGAACCTCAGCTCTTCTTGGAAACACTGTTTCTCAGTTTATTGATGAATACCTTAGCAGAAAGAAAGGTTAAAATATCACCTAACTTGCCTAAGGGATTTCAATTTCTATGGTGTGCATGCTTCTGTTAGCTTTGAATGCTTTTTGTCAAAATACTGGGCGTATTTCACATATGGTACATATGTTGATCTGTCACAACTAAAAATACTATGCAGAATTCTTTGACTTTACTGGACTTACAGAGCTGGTAACACACTCTTACACTTTAGCAGAATGTTTCAAATTTCACTTACACTAAAAGCATTGGATATTTTTGCTGTCTGAAGAATGTAATGATACCATGGGTTCATACATTCGCCTTGCACTCACATCCATCTCAGTGGCATGAGCATGCTCAGGGTGACGGTGCTGGTGGACTTGACTTTGCTGGAGGAAAAGTGCTTCTCGAGAAATAATAACAAGATCTTGGTTGAACGAACCATGTCCTATCAGCTCCAGGGCCTCATCATGACAACCTGGAGAAAGCCACCACCCAAGCCTGGTGGAATCCATTCTCAGACCACTGGTGGTGGTCAAACCCTGGACAGAAGACGCAAGAACCCACGCAAGCAACCACGGGTAAAGAATGTCCTGCTAAGAGGGCGCTTTGATTAGGGGCTGAATAACCAGGGCACCAGGGCAGCAGCCTTCAGAAGCATTAAGTGGAGGGAGGTTGAACGCGTGGTCTGTGCCACTGCTTTTTGTTACTGCGTGTTTGAAGTGGGACAAGCAAAGTACTGGGCTATCTCTCACTGACCGTACATTTGGTAGCAATAGAGCAGCTGTCCGCATTGTTCATGCGCTGCGGAGCTATTCTGCATGCCGGAAAGGGATGAGTATGTGAGTCACTTTATAAAGGATGTACATGGGTTTTTCTTTTTTCCTGTTTGGAGGCAATTTAGAAGTAGACTATTCCAATGAGAAGGACTTGTGGGAGAAAGGAAGAAAGTGTTTTCAAGCCAGTACACTGTGCTCACTCTGCTAGGAGAGGCCAGGTACGGTTAGTGC